CTCACCAGCAAATTCCTTTTCACTTCATCTTAACAGCACTACTCTTACCATCCAGTTTTTCTCCCCACCCCCTGACTGTGGCAGGAGAGTGGCTGTGGATGTAACTCCCTGAGTTGAAAAAGGCTGACCAATCTGCCTCACTAGTAAAGATTTGATAAAAATACTGCCTTAGATAAGACACCAATGAAATCATGTTATGAAACACTAAAAGTAATTCATAGAATTAATTCATTTGCTTAATCATTTATTCAGCAAATACTTATTAAGCACCTACTATGTGGCAAGCCCTGTCCTAGATATTGAGGATCCATCAGGGGAAGAAAAGACCAAGCTCCCATCCTCATGGAACTTGAAGTCTACCAAGAATTCATGTTCAGTATAAAAGGATAGACAGTCATAAAACCATGACAAGGAATGATCAGAAACCAGCCCACGGGACCCTAGAAGAGGGGGCCCCACCCTGTTCTGCTGAGATGTGTATGAAGCGTGATACTGGCCTGTGGGACACACTTCCAAGAAGTGGGTTCAATTCCTTGTTGTGCTACATGCCACCCCTTTTATCCTACACAGAGAAGGCAGCAAGTGACACAATATTATAGGAATAACTCAGCTTTTCTCTTTAAAGAAGTATAATTAGCAAAATAAAAATGAGGATGACCCTGGGTGTTATGGTACATGCATACAGTTAGAAATGGTTAAAAATTGAAAAAAGAAAAATGAAAGGAGGGACTTTCCTAGTGGCTCAGTAGTTAGGACTCTGTGTTTTTCACTGCTGAGGGCATGGGTTCAGTCCCTCATTGGGGAACTAAGATCCCATGAGCCATGTGGCATGGGTCAAGAAAAGAGAAAACAAAATGAAAGGAAATCTCAGCAAAGCGTAACCCTTCTCACCAGCAAATTCCTTTTCACTTCATCTTAACAGCACTACTCTTACCATCCAGTTTTTCTCCCCACCCCCTGACTGTGGCAGGAGAGTGGCTGTGGATGTAACTCCCTGAGTTGAAAAAGGCTGACCACGCTTAACTTTTATCACAGAATTACACTGCCCACCTCTATCAAAAAGAGCAATGCAAGTGGAGAGTAGTTGAAAGTGTCAACAATTTGCAAGCAAGAACCCAATCAAAACAGGCTCCTGGGAAGCAAATTTGTCAGAATCTTTCAACCTTAAAATGTGCAGGATAACCTAGTGCAGTGGACCCTGTGATGTGTCACATGGATGCCCTCTTAGGGCCAACACACCCCTTCCACCACAGCTGTGCATCCTCAGCTGTGACCCTCACAGAGCATTGCCCCAGCCCCAAAGGGCTCCACCCTCCCCAGCAATGATTGGCTGATGCAGGGAAAGAGGAGGGGAAGAACAAGGTAGAGAACAGGCATGTAAATAGCCTCAGTGGAATCTGTATTATTTAGGGTTTGTTTTTTTCCCCACAAAAAAAGGATCTGAAGTAAATATGGTATAAAGTTAAGATTTGATAAAGCTAGTTATTAAGACAGGAATATTATTAACTCTTGATCTTGTCGGCATGTTTAAGTGAAGTGAGTGAAAGTCACTCTATGCAACCCCATAGAATAGTCTATAGAATTCTCTAGGCCAAAATACTGAAGTGGGTAGCCTTTCCCCTCTCCAGGGGATCTTCCCAATCTGTGTGTTTAAAATACATCATAATTTTTAAAAGACCAGTGCACATGGGGGGTAAACATCATCTTTGTGCTTATTCAATTCCTATTCCCTTCTCCAGGAAGGAAAATTGTTTACTGAGCACCCCTATATGCCAAGCACTATTTTCTCTGAAATAGGAATTAACTTACACATTCAACAGGATGTCATTTTTTTCAAGGATCTTTCTAAAGATTCTTTAAACCTTTAGATGGTTTTTTGAAGACCTATAAGACCTTCTAGAACTAACACCAAAAAAATATGTCCTTTTCATCACAGAGGATTGGAATGCAAAAATAGAAAGTCAGGAGATACCTGAAGTAAGAAGCAAGTTTGGCCTTGGAATACAAAATGGAGCAGAGCACAGGCTAATAGAGTTTTGCAAAGAGAATGAAATGAACATAACAAACATCCTCTTCCAACAACACAAAAGACAACTCTACACGTGGACACCACCAGATGGTCAATACTTAAATCAGATTGATTATATTCTTTGTTTGTAGCCAAAGATGGAGAAGCTCCTTACATAGTCAGCAAAAACAAGACCGGGAGCTGATTGTGGCTGAGATCATGAGTTCCTAATTGCAAAATTCAGTCTTAAATTAAAGAAAATAGGGAAAAACACTAGTCCATTAAGGTATGGCTAAAATCAAATCCCTTATGATCATACAGTGGAGGTGACAAATAGATTCAAGGGATTAGATCTGGCAGACAGAGTGCCTGATGAACTATAGATGGAGATTCATAACATTGTACAGGAGGTGGTGACCAAAACCACCCCCAAGTAAAAGAACTGCAAGAAGGCAAAGCGGTTGTCCGAGGAGGCCTTACAAATAGCTGAAAAAGAAGAGAAGGGAAAGGTAAAGGAGAAAGGGAAAGATATACCCAACTGAATGCAGAGTTCCAGAGAATAGCAAGTAGAAATAAAAAGCCTTCTTAAGTGAACAATGCATAGCAATAGAGGAAAACAATAGACTAGGAAAGACTAGAGATCTCTTCAAGAAAACTGGAAATACCAAGAGAATATTTCAAGCAAAGATGGGCACAATAAAGGACAGACATGGCAAGGACCTAACAAAAGCAGAAGAGATTAAGAAGGGGTGGCAAGAATACACAGAAGAATTGTTTTAAAAGTCTATATAACACAGATAACCACTATGGCATGGTCACTTACCTAGAGCCAAACATCCTTAAATGTGAAGTCAAATGGGCCTTTGGAAGCAATACTACAAACAAAGCTAGTGGAGGTGATGGCATTCCAGCTGAGTTATTTCAAATTCTAAAAGATGATGCTGTAAAAGTGCCACACAACAAATTTGGAAAACTCAGCACTGGCCATAGGACTAGAAAAGGTCAGTTTTCATTCTAATCCCAAAGAAAGGCAATGCTAAAGAATGTTCAAACTACTGTACAATTGCAGTCATTTCACATTCTAGCAAGGTAATGCTCAAGAGCCTACAAACTAGGCTTTAGCAGTACGTGAACTAAGAACTTCCAGATGTATAAGCTGGGTTTAGAAAAATCAGAGGAACTAGAGATCCAATTGCCAACATTCATTGGATCATACAAAAAGTAAGGGAATTCCAAAAAACATCTATTTCTGCTTCACTGATTATGCTAAAGTCTTTGACTATGTAAATCACAACAAACTATGGAAAATTCTGAAAGAGATGGGAATACCAGACCATCTTACCTGCCTCCTGAGAAACTGTATGCAGGTCAAGAAGCAACAGTTAGAACCTTACATGGAAGAACTGAGCAATTCAAAATTGAGAAAAGAGTATATTGTTACCCTGCTTATTTAACTTACATGAGAGTATATCATGCAAAATGCCAGGCTGGATGACTCCCAAGCTGGAATCAAGATTTCCGGNGCTCCAGGAGTTGGTGAAGGAAAGGGAAACCTGGAGTGCTGCAGTCCATGGGATCACAAAGAGCTGGACATGACTTAGCAACTAAACAACAACCAGGTTCTATTCATAGTCAGACATGCCATCAGATTTCATTCTAATGTCAGACTTCTGTCCATCCTGCTACAGCTTAAACCTGTCTCCTTAGTGTGGTGTTCAAAACAAGCCAAAGACTCTTCTGAGTCCTCATGGAAAATGCAGGGAACTCCCTCCTTGACTTACCTGAGCTCCCTAAGATGCACATGATCTGCCCGCTCTCGATGTACAAGGAGACATCTTTGAGGATCTGCCTGGTCCACTTCTGTCGGCGAGATGCAATATCCCACCAGGGCCCCACGTGGTGGCTTTAAGGGAAACCACACAAGGGAAAGGCAGCATAGAAGATTCCAGACCCTTGTCCCCCAGCACCAGTCCCAGCTCTGCCCAGCCCAAGTTCTCTCTGGACAGGCTCCTAAGTGTGGTTTAGCCTCAGTGCCCTCTGTAGAACCTGGCAGGTAGTGACAGAAGATCACCTCTGTAAAGAATTTTCTGGCAGCCGCTCTGAATGCCAGCTCTCTTTGGCTGGATGACAGATGGCACACAGGACACTGTTTATTCCTTCAATTGACCCTGCGTTCCTTCACTTGGTTTCATTACACCTCGTATTCCCAGTACCCCCATTTCCCAAGTCCTCGTCATCTGAATAGGGCAGGTTATAGACTAGGGAGAGATGAGGGGAAGGGGCAAGGGGCAAAACGCAGGGGCACGAGGCAGGGCACAGCTTCCGGTCTTCACTTCCAGTCCCACTGTGGGCAGGAGGAGGGGCCGTTCACAATGGCTCCTCAGCTCCCTCTGGCAGCCCTTCCCTGCCCTCTCTCCACCTACACCCACTACAGAGGGAGCCCGAGCCTCCGTGCGTGCCCCCATTAGTGAGGAAAATCAGCAGAGGGCAGGGGCCCACTCGCCTCAGGCCACCGCTGCCCCGACCACGGCTCAAAGCTCCTGGCAGATGAGAGCGGCGCCTCCTTACCTGACACTGTACGAGGCGTGGAAAATGCCCAGGCTGTGTCGAGGCTTTGCAGGAACCTCCTCTAGGGAGCACTGGGAGCTTCTGTTTACTTGGAGTTCTGAGGACTCCCCAAGAGTCCAAAAGGGGAGCTCGCCCATGGCCAACAAGCAGCAGAGACTGGTGGATTTTCTGGCCTGACTCTCCCTGGAGTGGCCTCCGCCAAGGAGCCAGTGGCAGACTGTCCTGTCTGCTCTCACCTGGCCCTGGAGGCCCTCCTCAGGACTTCCCAGCGGCGGGCCTGGGCTTGGTCGTGGATGCCATTATCTGATGTACCTTTAGTCAGAGTGTGTCTGTGCGTCATCTTGGCAGTGGGCAGAACACACAGCCCATGTTTGTGGGAGGGCTTGCCAGACAGGAATGCTGGGAGCCAGACCAGAGGTTGCCCGGCTCTGGGAAGCAGACAATATTGGCCCTGGTCAGCAGCAGCTAAGCCCAAAGGAAACTACAGAGTTGAAGCGCAGACAACGTGGCGCCCCATGGCAGAGGCGGCCCCAAAGGAGAAAGGGCTGGAGAGCAGCGCTGCTCCCCAGGATGACTTGGTGAGTGACGGGGGGTCACCAGAGTCCTGGTGGGTGGGGGGCGAGTTGGACTCCTCTCTCCTTCTTAGGGAACTTTCGGTCCTAACACCACCAGGCCCACAAGCAGCAGGACTCTGCTTCCTGGGCATCAAAGGGCTGAGGGAAGCGGGGTCCGGGGTTGGTGGGGGGCCTCTGAGGTCACCTCCTGCCCGAAGGTGGCTCCTGCAGGTAAAGGACGTCGTGTTTGTGACTTGGGCTGATCTGGCTCTTTTCTAAATGCGGCTCCATCCCAGAAGGGCTTCCCTGGGGGCTCAGTCGGTAAAGAGTCTGCCTGCAATGTGGGAAAGCTGGGTTCAGTCCCTGGATTGGGAAGATCCCCTGGAGAAGGAAATCGCAACCCACTCCAGTACTCCTGCCTGGAGAATTTCATGGAGGAGGAGCCTGGTGGGCTGCACAGTCCACGGGGTCACAAAGAGTCGGACACGACTGAGTGACTGAGACTTCACTTTTCCCATCACAGAAACGTGCTCACACGGCCGGGGGACACTGCGGTGTCTCCTCTGTCCCTGCGGCTATCAAGTTCAGAGACTCAGTGGCAACAAACTGATGAGACAGGGTGGCAGAGCAGCTTGTGAGAACATCAGAACGTATGCCCCAAATACAGCTACAGCAGGCAGCCGGAAGACCCTGGAGAGAGCTGGCAGGAACAGAGGACAGCCAGGGACCAATAGGTCCAGGGTTTCTGTCCTCATTTTACATGAGAAATGTTTGCCTAAAAAAAAAAAAAAAAAAAGCCTTTGACTGAAATCAGGATGTCGGCAGGGTTTGAAGCAAGAGGTGAAATCAGAACACAGAGAGGAAGCAGGTCCCCACCCTCCATCCCCACCCCTCCCCACCCTCCATCCCCATCCCTCCCCAACCCTCTGTTTGCTGTTCAATCAGCCTTTGGTTGCCTGTGAAGGGGTGAGGGGTAGAGACAGAAAGACTGAAGGACTGAGGATTCCACCCCACAGGAAGGGCCTCAGGCCACCCAGACTGGCCTTGAGTTGCTAGGACCTGACCTCAGCCAGGCCCCAGGAGCCCACCCTCTCAGTCAGCTCCCAGCCACTGCAGGTAACCACTGTGCTCTGGGAATACCCCAGGGAGCCAACGTCTGCCAGGAAAGGATTCCTGGGAGCTGTGACTGTAGTGTGTACAGCCTACATCGGATACAAAATCTCCAGTGATTTTTGAAAAGGACACTTTCTAGAAGGTCTGACAATTCAGACACCACAGCTTGGGATGCAAAGAACTGCCCGAATATGACATCCAGGAAGGGGTGCAGGACCTGCCATTTCCAATTTCCTTTCCTTCACTCCTGTGCCTCAAGGTGCCAAGTGACAGCCTGTCTCTAACATTTATGGTGCCCAGAACAAGAGGCCGAGGGCTACGTATCTTATATCTTTGTTGTTGTTCAGTCACTCGGCCGTGTCCGACTTTGCAACCCCACGAACTGCAGCACGCCAGGCTTCCCTGTCCTTCACCATCTCCTGGAGCTTGCTCAAGCTCGTGTCCACTGAGTCAGTGATGCCATCCAACCATCTCATGCTCTGTTGCCCTCTTTTCCTCCTGCCCTCAATCTTTCGGGTCTTTTCCAGTGGAACTGTATCCTATGTCTAGATACTTAAAAAATTATCAGTCAAGTTAAAAGCTACTAAATAAAATAGTTTCTATGCTCCTAAACTGTCATACCTTCTTCGCAACATGGAAGGCCAGATGTAAACCAAGAAATTCTAGGACTTGTGGCTTCCAACACAAGCCACAGCCTGTCTCCCTTCTCTGCCCACGCTCAGCACCACACATGATCTCACACACCCCTGCATGGCCACCCCACCCTGCCCACCCACATGACATCCACGCCTCCACAGACAAATGCCCTTCTGACCTGAGTGCCCTGAGGGATGGGCTGAGGACAAGGTTCACACAGCCCTGGGAGTGGGCCTGAGGCCATCTGGGAATTTGGGCGTAAGTGAGTACCCAGAGTGGCAAGTGCCCTCGGCCCACAGACTCCTCAGTCCATGCGCAAAAGCCTGGCCAGAGGAGGACAGGAGGGGCCCAGGCCTCAGTGCAGAGTCTTCAGCACATCACTGCTTTCCCAGGGCACAGCCTCTGCATCTGAGAACAAGGAACTTGGGCTCTGTGCTCCCTGAGCTTCCTTCTACTCTACGCTTCTGACTCAGGAATTTGATCAGAAGTTAATACAAGGAGAAATTACAATGTAGCCCAGCAGGAGCTGAGCTGGTTATCTACAAATAAACCTGCTTTTGCTTTTTTCCATGTCACCTGTCAGAAATTCAAGTGATGATCTGACAGTCATACTGATTAAGGTGTCAGCACCTCAGCCAGGCCCCAGGAGCCCACCCTCTCAGTCAGCTCCCAGCCACTGCAGGTAACCACTGTGCTCTGGGAATACCCCAGGGAGCCAACGTCTGCCAGGAAAGGATTCCCGGGAGCTGTGACTGCAGTGTGTACAGCCTACATCGGATACAAAATCTCCAGTGATTTTTGAAAAGGACACTTTCTAGAAGGTCTGACAATTCAGACACCACAGCTTGGGATGCAAAGAACTGCCCGAATATGACATCCAGGAAGGGGTGCAGGACCTGCCATTTCCAATTTCCTTTCCTTCACTCCTGTGCCTCAAGGTGCCAAGTGACAGCCTGTCTCTAACATTTATGGTGCCCAGAACAAGAGGCCGAGGGCTACGTATCTTATATCTTTGTTGTTGTTCAGTCACTCAGCCGTGTCCAACTTTGCAACCCCACGAACTGCAGCACGCCAGGCTTCCCTGTCCTTCACCATCTCCTGGAGCTTGCTCAAGCTCGTGTCCACTGAGTCAGTGATGCCATCCAACCATCTCATGCTCTGTTGCCCTCTTTTCCTCCTGCCCTCAATCTTTCGGGTCTTTTCCAGTGGAACTGTATCCTATGTCTAGATACTTAAAAAATTATCAGTCAAGTTAAAAGCTACTAAATAAAATAGTTTCTATGCTCCTAAACTGTCATACCTTCTTCGCAACATGGAAGGCCAGATGTAAACCAAGAAATTCTAGGACTTGTGGCTTCCAACACAAGCCACAGCCTGTCTCCCTTCTCTGCCCACGCTCAGCACCACACATGATCTCACACACCCCTGCATGGCCACCCCACCCTGCCCACCCACATGACATCCACGCCTCCACAGACAAATGCCCTTCTGACCTGAGTGCCCTGAGGGATGGGCTGAGGACAAGGTTCACACAGCCCTGGGAGTGGGCCTGAGGCCATCTGGGAATTTGGGCCTAAGTGAGTACCCAGAGTGGCAAGTGCCCTCGGCCCACAGACTCCTCAGTCCATGCGCAAAAGCCTGGCCAGAGGAGGACAGGAGGGGCCCAGGCCTCAGTGCAGAGTCTTCAGCACATCACTGCTTTCCCAGGGCACAGCCTCTGCATCTGAGAACAAGGAACTTGGGCTCTGTGCTCCCTGAGCTTCCTTCTACTCTACGCTTCTGACTCAGGAATTTGATCAGAAGTTAATACAAGGAGAAATTACAATGTAGCCCAGCAGGAGCTGAGCTGGTTATCTACAAATAAACCTGCTTTTGCTTTTTTCCATGTCACCTGTCAGAAATTCAAGTGATGATCTGACAGTCATACTGATTAAGGTGTCAGCCGAATAGATACTTAAGCATTAGAAAAATACAGAGGGTTTGTCAAAACCTCAGGAAGAGTCTAACAAATCCTTCCTAGGAGCCAAGGAAAATATTTCAAAATGGAACAGAGGCAGCCCCCGCCCAGCCACGAGTTCTCTTCTGAACGTTGAGCTGCCTGTGGTGGCTGAGGCCCCGGGCTGGCCTGTGCCTGCTTACTGTGCCCAGGGTGAAGAGGGGTTGGAGGAACCCAGGAGCAGGTAGCACACACCTCTCTCCTTTCTTTTATTTGTCTTCTCATCCTGATGCCTCTTTCCCCAAGGCCCCATCACCCTTCACCTTCTCCAAGCTCCCGCCTGGAGAGTGGAACCCCTTAGGCTTAAGGTCACCACCACAAGTTGCTCCAGACTCCAAAATGTCCAACCCTTTCTCAGCAACTCTTCCACCTCCAAAATCTAACCTGGTGAGCTTCTGGCCCAGGTGTTCGTTGCAGAGCTAATTCATTCCTTATACCAACTAACATTCCTCCTGCAGACATTTACCTTTTAAAAACAAGCAAGTAGGGACTTCTCTGGAGGTCCAGTGGTTAAGACTCCATACTGTGAATTCAGGGGGTGCAGGTTTGATCCCTGGTCAGACAGCTAAGATCCCACATGCCTTGAGGCCAAAAAAATTCAAAACATGAAACAGAAGCAATATTGTCCAATAAAGACTTTTAAAAATGCTCCACATTTTAAAAATCTGTAAAAAAAAGAAAAAAAGCAGAATGCATGTTAGCCCAAGTGAGTCAGCAATGGATAAACTTTCAGATGGTTTAACCAAATAAAATGGGAAAACTAGGCGGTGGGAATGCTGGTGGCAGAGGTGGGGAGGGAGGGTCAGGGCTGACCTGCCAGAACCCAGAGCTGCCCATGACCTCCCCAGGAGTTTCATTCTCCATCTCCGAGGACACAACCCCCTCACCTCCTCCACCTCCAACTCCTCCAGCTGGGAAGACTCTGGACTTCCCCTCGTGGATACCCTCTCTCAGCTTTAAAACATATTTTGAAATATATCAGACAAAGCAGTTTAAAGAACAGTGGACTCCCATACCCATCATAAACTTACCAATAGCTTTGAAAGTCACCCCCCCCACCTGCCCAGGACTCCCTCTCAGTGACCTCTCCCACCCCGTATTCCTTCCCACCCCCCAAAACAATACTTCTGCTGACTTAGCTGTTTATCTTCCAAAGTTCTGTATAATATATGACCTTGACTGTACTGCTTCAAACATTAAACAAGGTAAGTAGCTCTGGTTGGCTGTTTCCACACTCTCCCAGAACTCTGGGGGCCACTCACAGTGGGCTTGCGGCAGACCATCACCCATATTTACTTCCCTCACCTCCACTGGGCTCAATGTCATTTTTAAGTACCTCCACTATTGCAGGGGTGCTTTAAAAAAAAGACTGTTGGGTATTATTTTCACGTAAGTCCCAAGCTATGTTGTGTCCACATAAAGTGCACACAGACACGGTGTGCACAGTGAAAATACACCTTGATCAGGCACGTCGAGGACCTCATGCCTCTGTGTCTGGCCTGTGCTGCTCCGTCCTCAGTGTCTCGTCCACTAAACTCTAAGCTTCCCAAAGACTGTCTTTTGCACAGTCACACAGCAAATTCCAAGCCTAAAGTATGTTGTGGGCCTCCTCATGTTTGCTGGATGCTTGACTGACTGATCGAAGGAATGTTATCAGTGAGGGAATAGCAGTCCTGAGGGGAGAAGATTGGAATCAACAGGTACTGGTTAATGAATGCATACTTGCCCCACACTACCTTGAGGAAACAAAAATTGAATGCATTTTTAAAAAGCGGACATCTTTTAAGGCAAGTTTTTCCTGGTTTGGGTCTCAGCTATTTAAATGATTGAACTGATAAAACAGAAGGAATTCAGATCTGCAGATGGTATCATTCACCTTATCAGCTGATACCATGAAACACTGATTTATTTGATGTATATTCAAATAAAGCAGGCTTCCCTGGTAGCTCAGTTGGTAAAGAATCTGCCTGCAATGCAGGAGACCCCAGTTCGATTCCTGGGTCAGGAAGATTCCCTGGAGAAGGGACAGGCTACCCACTCCAGTATTCATGGGCTTCCCTGGTGGCTTACAGAGTAAAGAATTCACCTGCAATGCAGAAGACCTGGGTTTGATCCCTAGGTTGGGAAGATCCCCTGGAGGAGGGCATGGTAACCCACTCCAGTATCTTTGCTTGGAGAATCCCATGGACAGAGGAGCCTGGCAGGGTACAGTGCATGGGGTTGCAAAGAGTCGAATAAGCAGCCATGTTTATGTGAACACAGCATGGCTTGTGACTTATGTGAAAATAACATCATCAGCAAGATGATGACGATGAAGAAGGTGATGATAACAGAGATGACAGGGACTTACTCTCAAATCTCCCAACAGCATTTTGAAGAGCTTTGTTGTGCAAAATCCTTATCAAGATAAGATGCAACTTTTCTGAGGGCAATGTCTTCACAAGTACTGAGTACTAGCTTGTTGACAGCTGTTTTCCTCTCACATGCTGGGTACAGAAAGTCTGTTTGGGATGAGATACTAAGCCAGATTCAGGAAAGGGAAAGTTAAAAGGCCTTTTCTGAACACAGAGGCTCACAAAGCTCTCTCCAGTCCAGGGTCTGGGTCTTGTTCACGATAGGTTACTTGGATCAGGTTCCAGCAGCCTGTGGCTGAGCTTCTCTGGGGTCAGGAGCTAGAGGGAAGCCCCACAGTTTTCTCTGTAGAGAAGAGGAGCCCTGCCCTCATGGATGCTCCCGCTTTCTCAGAGCCCTGGGCTCCTCCTGCCTAAATCCATCTTTTGCCCACTTGGGATCTCATCTGCACTAGCTCCTGCTCTCACCTCTCCGGATCTCTTCCCTCCCAAGCCCTTCTTCTGAAGAACCTCCTCACCTGTCGTGTCTCCCAGCAGGGCCTCCAGGACAGCGTCTTCTCCTCCGAAAGCGACAATAGCCTGTACTTCACCTACAGCGGCCAGTCCAACACCTTGGAAGTCCGAGATCTCAGCTACCAGGTAGAGACACACCTGAGGACCGGTGAGGGAGCAGACAGAGAGGGCCAAACAATTCCCCAAGCAGAAGGGAAGGGTGAGCCCCAGCTGGGGACCCTCTGCCCCTGAGGACGGAGTTCAGGCTACACTGATGCCTCATGTGTTGGGTACAAGCACTATGGAAACTTGCCTCAACTACACATATTGGAGCTTAGATTGATGGGCATGAAAAAGAGAACGAGACCTTTGTTAAAACATAAAGACCCTGTGTGAAAAAAATCTCTAAAACTTACTTTTAACTTTATATTTTGAAATAATTTTAGACTTCTGATAAAGCTGCAAAAATAATGCAGAGTTCTTATATATCCTTTGTTCACCTTGCCCTAATGTTAACGTCTTGCTTACCCATAGCACAGTGACCAAAAATGAGACATTAACCACAGGATAATACTATTAACCAAACTACAGACTTATATAAGATGTTATGGAAAAGCCCAGATGAAATTTTCAGCCAATCTAATAATAGTACACATGTTATAGGTCTGCAGTGAGGACTGAATGAGATAAGGGACATAATAAACAGATGAACACAATGCCTTGCACACACTAAACACCTGTTATTAGTAAATCACTGCTGAGTGAAAATATCATTTTGCCCGATGTTGTGTTTTTATTTCTGTTCTGCTATTATGCATGCTTCCCAACTGTTCTCTTCAGACTTGGAAATGGCAACTTCAGATTCTCAGCATGGTGGAGCCCACCTCCATATCTGACAGAACCTGGGTGGGGGATCCCCTCAGGCCTGTTGTATTTTGGCAGGAGGATTTCTGTTGGAGGGAGCTGAACAGAAGTTGAAACTTTCTGAGGAACCTTTCTATGTCTCCCCACAGGTGGATATGGCCTCCCAGGTACCTTGGTTTAAGCAGCTGGCTCACTTCAAGATGCCCTGGACATCTCACAAGGACTCCTGTGAGCAGGGCATTCAGAACCTGAGCTTCAAAATGAGGAGTGGACAGATGCTGGCTGTCATAGGGAGCTCAGGTATCACTAGGAGCAAATAGTGGGGCAATGGGTTCTCTCTCTCCTGTGATGCAGGGCAGTCCCTCGAACAAACGGATGATCCTTACAGAACTTTGCTGAGCAACAGAACAATACAGCAGAGTTGTGAGAGCACAAGTTCCAGGCCCAACAGAGCTGGGTTCAAATCTCAGCTCCTCTATTTACTAGCTTTCATGAATCACAAGTAGGCTTCGTGCAGCTGCAGCCAGAGCTCCGATCCTTCATTGATATAGGGGTAAGTCATTACCAGTGCATCAGGCAGCTTTGGAATTGAATCCTCTTTCCACAGGACGCCTCCACCACAAGGAACACTCATTCATTGTCCTCCCCTCCCCATCAGATGACTATTTCAGTCAGACAGTGGGTAGGCACAGCCCCTGCCACAACTCATGTCTTGGATACCCCAAGTCTTAGTTCAACCTTCAACCACTGGCAAAAATTCAGATTTCTGGAGTGCTTCAAAAAGTCACTTCCACAGGCCAGACTTAGAAGTGTAGAAAAAGCTGGAAGGGGCCTTGGAAAACAGGGTTGTGTTCCCCTCACAGTATTTTACCTTTCCTTCTCCTGACCACTGTGAAAACATCTTCAGAGGGGGTTTTCCTGCCCCTGCCATCACTCCCCCTTCATTTAACAGGTGAGACCAAAGTTTAAAGAAGAGGAATGATTTACCTAAGGACATATATTTAATGCAGAATAAGAACTAGAACTCTGGTCTCCTGGTTCTCAGATGTTTTTAAAAAAAATTCAACTGATTAAATTTTAAAGATCTTATTGGCTTTATTCAACAATTCATGAATTGGGCAGCATCCCACCTGGCAGAAAGTATTGTGTGGACTGGAAGGTTTACTTGGATTTTTCCATAAGATGTTAGCTCCAGCCCAATAGCTTTGGTGTGCATGCTAAGTTGTTTCAGTTGTGTCTGACTGTTTCTGCAACTCTATGAACCACAGCCTGCCAGGCTCCTCTGTCCATTGGGTTCTCCAGGCAAGAATACTGGAGTGGGTTGCCATGCCCTCCTCCAGGGCATCTTCCCAACCCAGGGATCAAACCCACGTCTCCCATATCTTCTGTATTGGCAGGTGGGTTCTTTACCACTAGTGCCACCTGGGAAACCCAAAAGCTCTGGAGAGCTGTACAAAATGAAAGATTTTTACAGGCAGAATGAAATCAGACAAGGAAGTTATTCTAGCAAAGGGCTGATTGTTTTAGGTAAGGTCACCTTTCTCTGGGGGACAGAAGGGGTCTATCAGTGCTGACCAGGCAATTTCAGATGGGCTGGTTTAAGATTCTATTCCCAAGAGAGACTGAAACTATAATTAAATTAGGTATTACATCTCAGTCTGGGGACATGGGGCTTAGCACAAGTTGACTCCACTTGGGGTTTGTGTTTATTTTTTAAACACAGATCAAAGGCATTTCTCCCTTACACAGTGTCAGAGGGAGTACTTTATACCTCCCAATTAATCATTTCCAGAATTAGAGATTACTCAACTTTTTGACCATCTGCTCCAAATTTTTAGTCTTCTGCTGGGGAAGTTCTGTTTACTGTCTAACTAGAGATAAAATGAGAGGATATGTGCAAATAAACTTTGTCACTGAAACAACACCCACAGATCAAGTCCTGCCAACTGCTGGCCCTGGCCCTGTAATTCTGATCTAAACAAGAAAAATGTGGAAACTTCACGGGCCAATTTTATTTGTTTATTAACATCTGGTGGCTTTTTGGTTACACCTGCTTTTTCTTCATGAACTGAGGATCTAGGGAACACATGGGCCTAACTAGGCACTTCAAGCTAAGAGTCATCACAGTTAATCCTGACCACCACAGCCCTGTAGCTCTTAGAATCCCTGATTTGTGGTTGAAGAAGGGGAAGTCAGGAGAGGCCAAGCAGGAATCACACTAAGTGTGTGATTTTCGACTCTATGCTAGTGTTGTTTAGCTACAGGTTTACTTGGCTGAAATTATTTAAATGATATTTTAGAAAGGTTATCAATTATACCACCTGTGACTTATATTCTGCCATGTGATTCTCCAGGCAAGAATACTGGAGTGGACTGCCACTCCCTTCTCCAGGGGTTCTTCCCGACCCAGGGATCGAACCCACATTTCCTATATTGCAGGCAGATTCTTTACCGTCTGATCTAGGAGGGAAGCATACTCTGCTCACCAAAATTATAATAGTAAAATAAAATTAATTCAAACAGCCCCAGGCATTTAAGCTTCTATAGAATCAGCGGTGGTGCTTTTCCAATGAATGAATTTACTGAGTTGGCAAAGGGTCTTGAATGCCTGTGGGTGTTTTCTCCTGATTCATGGAGGATCTCCCCAAACATACCCTGGCAACCTCCCCTGGAAAGACCACCCACACCTCTCACAGTTTCGTTCAGGAAATGTGGTCTTCCTGCCCCCTGATTGGGAATCCTAAGGTCCCTGTGTTGGGAAAGTCCCCTGTGCTTCCAGAGCCTGGATCCAATGATGTCCACGCTGACCCAGGAGTAGGGCCAGAACCCTCCCTCTGGCTTCCCCCCTGGCTATTTTGTGCCTCCTAAGTTCTCTTGAATGAGGTGCACCCAGGAGGCAGTGGACAGGTCCCTTTCTACACTGAGAACCTCTGGTCCATAAGCAGAAGGATGACTGAAGCGGCTACTTGATTTTTGCTTTTATGCACAGGGGACGTGGGGCTGTGGGCAGGGGGCTGCTTGCAGAAGGCCTGGGAATGTGGCAAGGAAGAGTCATTACATCTGTGTGTTGGCGCTTTCCCTGTTTAAAAACTACTGGGAAATTTTGCACTCCAAAAGGAATTTACAATAAGGAAACTAAAACCCTGCCTAGGGGAATTGGACTGAGCTGTTCCTGGCAGCTTTGTTTAAGAACCCCTTCCCAGACCCTAAGCCCTATTTGACTTGCAGTTTAAGTGGCTGTCACAGAATCTCATGGAACCTGATCCAGTTGGACACTTCCCCAAATTGATAGCAATTACTATGTCATTCAGAAGTAGATGGCGTTAATTTGTATGTAATGGATCTATTTTTTTAAAGAGAAAGTGAAAAGTACTACTGATAAAAATAAGAGTGTAGAGAAATTCAGAACTGTGTTGTAGTTTAAAAATCATTTCCACATCTATTACTTCTCTATTTTTTTCTCCCTTTCTGAAAATAGGTTCCAGTTTTGCATTTTTAAAAAGACACCTATTTAATTCTCCAAAACTAGTCTTTCCCACAATGCCAGCTTCTGAGCCAAATGATGGGAAATGATGAAATGTTGCTGGCAGGTTTGCCAGGCAAAAAGAGTTAAGCTTCCTAGTGCAATTAACACCAGCCCTTCTTGGGGGAGGGGACATACACTCTGGGCACAGGCAGTCCTGTGACAACCAGGACTCCAGCCTTCTATCACGCAACCACAGGCCAGCCTGACCTGAACACCCAAGATTCCCAAGGATGTTCAAGTTGGCTGTTCCATGCAGGTCAGAGGACTGTGCCACCTTCCCCAGGGAAGAACAGAGCAGAAGGTGGTGGCTGGAGGGTGTGTGGGCAGCAGAAGCTTCCAACCTGGCCCCTGCAGAAGCTCCGTTCTCAGGAATATATTTTCTGTTTAGTATTTGTCTATGTGGCTGGGTCAGGGTCAGGGGAGGTTGTGAGGGTGGGGAGAGTGGGGAGTGTTCCTAGTTCTGGGTCAGGATTTAGTTCCCGGACCAGAGATTGAACCTGGGTCCCTTGCATTGGAAAGCAGGCTCTTAATCACTGGACCACCAGGGATATCCCCCTCAGGGATATTCCTGGTGGCTTCTCAGGTTGTGGGAGAGCCTCTTTGCTGGACGTGATCACCGGGCGAGGCCCTGGCGGCAAGATTAAGTCAGGCCAAATCTGGATCAATGGGCAGCCCAGCACAGCCCAGCTAGTGAGGAAGTGTGTGGCCCACGTGCGCCAGCACGACCAGCTGCTCCCCAACCTGACCGTCCGGGAGACCCTGGCTTTCATTGCCCAGCTGCGCCTGCCCAGAAACTTCTCCCAGGCCCAGCGCGACAAAAGGGTAACTAACTAATCCCAGTGACCCCAAGAAGCTATGACATCCTCCCCCTGCCCATCCTTCCCTCCCTGCCTCAGGGTCCAGCCATTCCAGGCCAACTGTGAGCAGCCCAGCTCACCATCTGTCCATCAGAAAAAGTGCACCAAACGCTCAGCCCTGCCTTCCTTCCTCCGCTGTCCCATCTTAGCCCCAAATATGGGATAAATATTTGCTTACTTGTTTTCCGGTTATCCGTGCCGGCGGGGAGCCGGGGCATGGCCACAGTCCCAGCAAGTGGTGCCTTGCTCAGCAGTGGGAGCCGCTCCGGATGCGTGGAAAGAATCCGGGAACAAACATTGCATCAAGGAAATGTAGGCCAGAGCCTTAAACTCAGGCGTCTTTCTACTCTGGAGCCCGATCTGCCTGGCCCGGAGCAGGCCCGCGCAGCCTCTCTAAAGCCCTGGGACCGCCCTGCCTTTCACCCAGGTGGACGACGTGATCGCGGAGCTGCGGCTGCGGCAATGCGCCAACACGCGCGTGGGCAACATCTATGTGCGGGGCGTGTCGGGGGGCGAGCGGCGCAGAGTCAGCATCGGAGTGCAGCTGCTGTGGAACCCAGGTGAGGCTGGAGGGGCCCACGGAAGCCGCCTGGCTTAATCCGGTCCAACTGGAGTCCTGCCCATTAAACCAGGCTTCTCCCTGTTGGGAAGGAATCCTTATCCTGGATGAACCCACCTCTGGGCTCGACAGCTTCACGGCCCACAACCTGGTGAAAACACTGTCCAGGCTGGCCAAAGGCAACAGGCTGGTGCTCATCTCCATCCACCAGCCGCGCTCTGATATCTTCGGGCTGTTTGATTTGGTGCTCCTGATGACGTCTGGCACCACCATCTACCTGGGGGCAGCCCAGCACATGGTTCAGTATTTCACCGCAGTCGGCCACCCCTGTCCGCGGTACAGCAACCCTGCCGACTACTATGGTGAGTCAGCCAGGCCAGAGGCAGGGAACAGGGCTCCCCTCGACCCCAACCCTGGCAGGAGAGAAACTCTCAGGGGCTTCAGGGGAATAGGACCAAGGATGGAGGCAGGGGAGGAGATGGGGTGCATTACAGGCTTCAGTTACCCAGCATCAAATTCTAGGAATGGCACACCCTTGTGCGCATGACTATTAAGAACGTCATGAGAGCTCCAAACCAGAGGAGATAGAATCCAAGAGGGTTTGAATCAGTTTCTGGAATTATGGTCTTTATTCAGGTTCTGTAGGGAGAACATAAAATTTGGAGTTGGCAGCCACTAGGAAACCTTAAAGCCATGCTCTGGTGCCCCCACAAAGGCAGGGAACCCAGAGGCTGTGGGCCCAGGGCACAGACCAGTTTAGTGCCTTTTGGGGGGCCTTGACCCATGAATCTTTAGGTATGAAAATTGCTATCAGCACCAGAGATGCCTTCCTGCTTGGGGTCCTGAGACCTCAGCATATGGCCCTCAGATCTTGCAGGGACAGTTGCCTTTCCAGGTGCCCACCTTGAAAGCAGGCCCTGGGTCCTGAGTGCTGAGCAGTGCCGTGGCTACTAGGCAGGCCGCATGGCTGCACCAGGGCCAGGAGAGCAGCCGCTGTGGTTTGTCCCAGACATAGATCACCTGGAGCCCAGCCTTCCTCCCAGGATGGCCTGGTGTAGCAAGGGCCTTCCCAGTACACAGGTGGGTAAGGACCAGTTCCTTGAGGGCAGACACTAGGCCCATAGGTGCCAAGCACCAGAGGGTGTCCCTTTGACCCTTGCAGCCCTGCCAGGCCACGGTCATCTTCGTCCTTACAGATAAGAAGACTGGAGTCCTTGCAGGCAGGTGCAGAAATGGGCCTCTCACCTCCCGTGCCCAGGAGGAAACACCCTTCTCCCAGTATCCACCCTCCAACCCCCCAAGAGGACAGGCCACTCTTTCTGGCCCACCCACTCTCACCCTCTGCACTCACTCACCCTGTGAACTCACCCGGAGGTCACCCATCTCCCTGTGCTCAGATACCAGCTTGGCTTCCTGCCAGCCTGTCATCCTCGGGTTGGTCGTCCCCAGATAAGAGGGCAGAGGGCATCTGCCAGCCTGCCACTGAAAGCAACATACTGTAACCCTAGAGAGAAGTTGCCAGAAATCAGGTGCCCGCATCTGGAAAAAAAGCAAATCTTTTTCTTCATTTTATATTATCATTTTTTGGTGGGGAGTGGTTCTTGCCCACAAGCCCTGGGGCAGTTGGCCCTCACAGATCTGAGGGCAGGGCCTGGCAGTGCCCAGAGAATCTGATACTTGAAGTTATGGCCCTACACAGTGAGGGGACCCTTGATGATTTACAAGGCCCCTCTGAGATGTTTTCCTGCCTTGAGATGTGTCATGAAAATGGGAAGAGGAAAGGCAGAGAGGTGAAGTGATTCCCCCTGGGCATCTCTCTGCCTCTATCTGTTCTGAGCATCACTTTGTGATCCACTCTCAGAGGGTGGGGAGCGTGTCCCAGGGTCCCCTTTGACTGCATCATGGGCCAGGAGCCCCTGTGGGACCCAGGTCACCCAGGGCCCCATTCCCACTGCTTACAGTGGACTTGACCAGCATTGACAGACGAAGCAAAGAGCAGGAAGTGGCCACCAGGGAGAAGGCTCGGGCCCTTGCGGCCTTGTTTAAAGAAAAAGCGCGTGGCTTTGATGACTTTCTATGGACAGCAGAGTCAAAGGAGCCGAGTGTGGGCACGTGTGTGCAGAGGTAAGGCAATGGGTGGCCCTGGGGGGAGAGCACCCTGCAGAAAGCAGCTGTCCCTACACCCCCGTGACACTCTCGATCTCCTGACAGCCCGGCTCCTGACACCAACCCGTTCCAGGCTCCCACTAAGCTGCCCGGCCCCCTACAGCAGTTTGCCATACTGATCCGGTAATTATTTGCCATTTCATCACCCCGTTGGCCCCCAAAAGTCTTAGCTGTATCAAATCAAGCCCTTTAGAACTAAAGTGAATTTGAAGGAGGAATTTAATTTGAAGAGATAGGGTCATTTGAAAAAAAACGGCACCAGCCCTCCATGTGATACAGAGAACTCCTGTTCCTTTGCTTCTTTAAACAAAATCAATATTTCCTTGCTAGCCAGATGCTCGTAGAAATCACCCAGAATCATTGTAAAAAAGTAAATCGATACAGGAGACCCTGAAGTGGACAAGGGAAGTTTCCCTGCTACACGAGCCCTCATAGGGCTCAGAAAACGAGATCTGAGTGTTTGGTGTGAGTCCAAGGTGTTTCCATGCACATAAATATTTTAATATATAAATGAGATCATGCTAAGTCGCTTTGGTTATGTCTGACTCTTTGTGACCCTATGGACTGTAGCCTGCCAGGCTCCTTTGTCCATGGGATTTTCTAGGCAAGAATACTAGAGTGGGTTGCCATTTCCTCCTCTAAGATATCTTCCTGACCCAGGGATAGAAGTCTTATGTCTCCTTGCACATACATCGTTACACTTCTGATTGCTTATTTCCTCAGGATGACTTCTTTAAATAAAATTGCAAGGTGATACAGTGTTAGTAAAAGTCACAATCATTTCCTGAGTACCCACTGTGAGACAGATGCACTCATCAGTCACCTCACTTGATCCTCACAGTATCTGAGGGGGGCACCACTCTTCCCATTTTACAGAGGAGAAAAATGAGGCTTACAGAGATTACAGGACATTGCCAAGGTCACAGTGCTGGGGTCTGGTGTTCCCTTGGCACCTCTTTCTTCTGTTTCCTTAAGTCGTCAGATTTCCAACGACTTCCGAGACCTGCCAACCCTCCTCATCCACGTAGTGGAGGCCTGCCTGATGTCCCTGATCATCGGGTTCCTCTACTACGGCCACGGGGCTGTCCAGCTCTCCTTGACGGACACGGTGGCCCTCTTGTTCATGATCGGAGCTCTTGTTCCTTTCAGCGTGATCCTGGATGTCATCTCCAAATGTGAGTGTGGCCTGCTCTCTGTAACCCACACGCAAGGCTGTGTCAGCCATGCTCTGAACTGGACCAGGGCTGGCCTGAGTTCCGCTGAGCTCCTGGAGGAGACAGGTCTGCTGAACAGTTTCACCATGACTGCTAAATAAAAGCTGAGGGTTGTTTTTCAACTTCATATATTAATATCAGTAGGCACATGAGAACAAATTACCAAGGAGTATGAGGCTTTTCTCTCCTAGTAGGAGTTATATTGACAGTAATGCACAAGTCACAGAATTATAAGCATCTAAATTAGGATCAAAAATTGCCTTTTTAAAAAAAATATATGACATTGAGGCAATAAAACTGGTTTTAATTGTACAAAGAGAGACTCAAAAACAGCAACACTGTAATTTCATTTTTTCATTCTCCTTTTCTCTCCTTTTTAGGTCACTCAGAGAGGGCACTGCTTTACTATGAACTAGAAGATGGGCTGTACACGGCGGGGCCATACTTCTTTGCCAAGGTGACTGGTCAGGCTTCAGAGTGAGTGCCATGTGGAAGAGAGGGCAGAAGAATCTTCTCCACATCATACAGAAATTACAGGGAAGCCTTTTGCTCAGCGGTGAGGCTGAGCATCATCTGTGGTTGCAGACGCCACAATCCTTAGGAGAGTTTCAGAGACTTGATGAGTCTCTGATAAATTTTTTAAACATTTATCAGAAGGCCAGGACCATGGACCAGGAATGATATTTTTCTGGCCACCAGAAACCTAACAAAGAAGAGGTGGGAAACACCTACACCTAGCGTACTTCACCTCTCCAGTCCCTCCACGTCCCTGGAAAGCAGGTTGGAAGGTTTGATGGTCCTCATTTCAAAGAAGTAGAGGCTCAGAGAAGTTAAGTGGCTGCCTCCAGGCCACATAGCTACCGTGTCTGGGTAGGCAGAGTGGGGACTTGAAGCCAGGTCTCCAGAGCTCTGAACTGCCCCAGAGGGAGCAAACAGCACCTGCAGGGGGAAGTCAGCAGTGAGTCCATGCTTGTGGGTCCCACGCACCTATGCCCACTAATCCCCCGGTGGCCACCCCACTCACCACCAGGAAGGACAGCTGGGGACACCGGGGGCTGCTGCCGTTGAACACGGAAAGATCAGCAGCAGATAAAGGCGCTGGCTCGCATGCCTTGCAGATCCTGGGGGAGCTTCCCGAACACTGCATCTACATCGTCGTCTATGGGATGCCCATCTACTGGCTGGCCAACCTGCGCCCAGGCCTGGAGCCCTTCCTGCTGCATGTCCTGCTGGTGTGGCTTGTGGTCTTCTGCTGCCGGACCATGGCCCTGGCCGCCGCCGCCCTGCTGCCCACCTTCCACATGTCCTCCTTCTTCGGCAACGCTCTCTACAACTCCTTCTACCTGACTGGGGGCTTCATGATAAGCTTGGACAATCTGTGGACAGGTGAGCTTGGCTCTCCTCACCTGCTCAAGCTTTTTGAGGCCCGCTGGGGCTGGGTCAGTCTGCTTTCCTCTGGCGCTGTGAGCTCATCACTTCGGTCCCGCTCAGAGTTGGGAGCAGGCTCCAAATGAAGAGCTCCATGGTGGGGTGCGGCAGATGGCACCTTCTCATACAGGCCGGCTGACACCCAGGGGCCACCCCTGACTCTCCGCACTACATCACCAGTGAGCCAAATCACTCCTGCCTCCCATGTCTTTCTGAAACGTAGTCTTGCCTCATCCCCGCCCTGGCTCCTATCAGCTGATCTTGGGCCAACTGTGATAGTCTGGTGTCTATGACCCTGGTTCCACCACATCTGAACCCTCACCCCTGCAGGGTTAACTTCCTAAGGTGCAGAGCCAGTCACTGCTTCGTCCCAGTGGTCCTGGGGCTGCTTGTTCCTGGCTGCCTCCACCCAACTCTTCTGAAGCCCCCAATAGGCTCCACACCTTCACAACTGAGCCTGTGGATCACCACTCTTCACCTTCCATAGGCCTCTCCTGATGAGCCGGACAGGATTCACTGCTTCTTCCTCCTCCCTGAGCCAGGATGCCTCTGTGGGGTCAGGGTACAGACTCGGTCATCTCTGTAATCTCTGGTGTGGGGCTGCTGAGACTCCAAAGTCCATAGGTTCTGTGAAGCTGAGCATGTGCTGGACCTAATGAATTACTCTGTGGAGTTACTATAGGTCAAGCACATGCTGGACACCTAATGAAATTACTCTGTGGAGTTACTGTAGGTCAAGCACATGCTGGACACCTAATGAAATTACTCTGTGGAGTTACTGTAGGTCAAGCACATGCTGGACACCTAATGAAATTACTCTGTGGAGTTACTGTAGGTCAAGCACATGCTGGACACCTAATGAAATTACTCTGTGGAGTTACTGTAGGTCAAGCACATGCTGGACACCTAATGAAATTACTCTGTGGAGTTACTGTAGGTCAAGCACATGCTGGACACCTAATGAAATTACTCTGTGGAGTTACTGTAGGTCAAGCACATGCTGGACACCTAATGAAATTACTCTGTGGAGTTACTGTAGGTCAAGCACATGCTGGACACCTAATGAAATTACTCTGTGGAGTTACTGTAGGTCAAGCACATGCTGGACACCTAATGAAATTACTCTGTGGAGTTACTGTAGGTCAAGCACATGCTGGACACCTAATGAAATTACTCTGTGGAGTTACTGTAGGTCAAGCACATGCTGGACACCTAATGAAATTACTCTGTGGAGTTACTGTAGGTCAAGCACATGCTGGACACCTAATGAAATTACTCTGTGGAGTTACTGTAGGTCAAGCACATGCTGGACACCTAATGAAATTACTCTGTGGAGTTACTGTAGGTCAAGCACATACTGGACACCTAATGAAATTACTCTGTGGAGTTACTGTAGGTCAAGTGCACAGTGATCCTGCAGCCACTTGGCCCCAGCAGTCCATGTCTCCAGCTTCCCCTCTGCTCTTTCACCCTTTGGTTCTCTTCCCCCGAGCTCAGCTCCCTCCGGGGATTTCTGCCCCTGGGTCAAAGCCACCATGCCTCTCTGCAGGCTCACTTCCTTGGAAGCAGGTAGTTAGACCCTGTGAATAATATGACTCTCACTCTCTCCAGTGCCCGCGTTGATTTCCAAGGTGTCCTTCCTCCGATGGTGTTTTGAAGGGCTGATGAATATCCAGTTTGGTGGGCATGCTTATTACATGGAAGCTGGCAACATCACCATCCGTATCCCAGGAGACATGGTAAGTCACCCAGGCCTTGGCTGTACATAGACAGCAGCCCTCTGAGCATGTTCTTAATGAGCTCACTGATGTCTCTGTCCCCAGATCCTCAGTTCCATGGGCCTGAACTCTTATCCGCTCTACGCCATCTACTTCTTTGTCATTGGCATCAGTGGTGGCTTCGTGATCCTGTACTATCTGTCCTTAAGGTTCATCAAACAGAAATCAAGTCAGGACTGGTGATTCACGCCCAGACTCCTGCCTGCTGGTGGGGGACTCGAGAAGGCCCTTCAGCTGCACTCCCTTCCTCCCAAGGAGCCCCTTTCCAGGCACGGGGAGGCCCAGGACTAAGCTACATCCAGTCCACACCGCTGCAAAGGCACAGGCTGGCCACAGGATGGCAGTAGAATAAAGACAGTCAGAAGGGATCTCTGATCACCAGCTGGAGCTTGAGTTTATTGGGAACCTGACAACCATACCTGGGGGACACCTACAATGTCATTAATTTATTTCCTTTTGATACATATATTTGTATATGCAACTAATACAAGATGGGAGCAAATTAGGTATGAATCGAGGAGTTAGGCCATGTGGATACAGTAACATAATAGCTAGTGGAGTGTTTGGCCTCATCTTCCAGGGTCCCCAAACTCTGAGCCATTCTCAATACAGAAAATGACCTAAAACATACCAGTGAGATGCCGTCTCTTCTTTTGTGTGAGGTCATGTGCTCCAAAAGCTAAACTGAACAATTAAATATTTGTTGAGCAATTGCTCTGCGCCAGATTCAGGGCAGAACACTCTTTTATGTGGATCACATTATTCAGTTCTCTGTTAAAACAACCCTTTGTGGTAGGCGGTATCCAATTTTATGGATGAAGAAACAGAGGCACAGACTGTTTACTAAGTAAGGTCACAGGCCTAATATGTGGTGGAGTCATGTGAGGTCAGAAAGGCCTATAGAAGTTAGCGGGCAGAAGGCAAGTCCTGGGCCACTGTAAGGCTTGGAAGCCCAGGAAGGCTCCGGAAGATAAAGAGGTTTATAGACACTGTCAGCTCAGCCGGGCCTCTCACGGTACATCTCACCTCTCCAGCTGAGTCTCAGACCAGCCTGGAACCTTTTGCAGTGACTGGTCATGTGTTTCCTGTCTGAGCTTTGAGGACCAGCTGACCCAAAACAGGTACCCAGAAAGCAAGGAGGAAGTCATCCTCAGAGGAAAACCAGAGTCTGAAACAACAAGAGGGGGCAAGGTAGATGGTTAGGAGGCAAAGAGTGGATGTTCTCCTCGGGTTTCCTAGACCATCACTACTTGAAGTGTGAGCCCTGGGCCAGCAGGTCCTGCCTGGGAGCTGGTTAGACTGTCAGTATCTCAGGCACCAGCCAGACCCACTGAATCAGAATCTGTATTTTGGAAAGATCCCCCGGGCTTCCCTGGTAGTCCAGTGGCTAAGAATCCTCCTGCCAATGCAGGGGACTCGGGTTCGATTCCTGGTTCAGGAAGCTCCCACATGCAGAGGGGCAGCTAAGCCCATGAGCCAGAACTACTGTGTCGCCACGCTGCAGCTACTGAAGGCCACGCACCTGGAGCCCGTGCTCTGCAACAAGAGGAGCCACTGCAGTGAGAAGGCCTGTGCACTCCAACACAAAGCAGTCCCTGTTTCCTGCAACTAGAGAAGGCCCACATGCAGAAATGAAGATCCAGGGCAGCCACAAGTAAATTAAAAAAAAACATCCCCGGCCAAAAAGTAAATAAATAGATCCCTGGGTGATCTGTATGTACATCCAGGCTTGAAGAGCAGTGCCTCGCACACTTCCCTTATATAAGACATCCATCCAACTTGGGATATTCATGTTACACTGTAACACTTCACACACGTCACTGTAACACTGCACATGTGTCATTGTTACACTGCCACCATCCAAAGGGCAGACTCTACTCAAGACTCATTTACTGTTCTGACAATGTCCTGCATAGCAAAAGAAGCCAGGTCAGGACCAAGCATTGGATCTAGGCGTCAATTCACTTTGGTCTCTTTTAGTTTAGAATAATTCTCAACTTTCCTTAACTCCCATGACCTTGACACATGAGCGTTTTATAGATTATCTCTAGATTTGGTTTGTCTGATACATTCTTATGATTACATTCAGGTCACGCCCCTTTGGCAGGAGTATCACAGAGGACTGTGCCCTTCTCGTTGCATCCTCTCAGTGGCATGCGATTTCAGTTTGTCCTGAACCGATGTTAACTTTGATCACCTGATCAAAGGAATACTTGCCAGGCTTCACATGATCAACAGTCTTTCCTTCTTTTGTAATTATTAATAAGCATTTGTAGGTAGGTATTTGGAAACTGCTCCTCAAACTTTCCATTAATTCATTTTAAAATTTGTATCAGTATAAACTTGTGGTTTTCTATTTTATTCAGTGGGCTATAATCTTTTACTATCATTCTTAATATAGATGTTCAAACCGTCCCTGATGTGGCCATGAGAGCCTCTTCAAGCTGGCTTCTGCCTCCTTTTGATAAGTCCCCCTCATTCTCTGAACACTTTTGCAACTGTTTCAGACTCACCTTCTACTTTCCCACCTCCCACCCCACCCCACCCCAATCATAGAAGCAGACATTTCTTTAAAGAGTCTTGGTTCCTTTCAGTGGAAAATGGCATTTAGAAGCCATTAGAAGTCAAGATATGAGTGATAAGTATGCTCACTGCCATTGGGGCGTCACTGTTTCCAGGCCCTCTCAGTGGGAATATATACATGGGTATATATGTGTATGTGTATACGTGTGTACACATGTGCACACACCAGTGAACCAGTAAAGTTGCCCAGTTGTGTCTGACTCTTTGCGACCTCATGAACTGTAGCCTACCAGGCTCCTCCATCCATGGAATTTTCCAGGCAAGAGTACTGGAGTGGGTTGCCATTTCCTTCTCCAGGGGATTTTCCCAACCCAGGGATCAAACCCAGGTCTCCTGCATTACAGGCAGACGCTTTATCATCTGAGCCACCAGGGAAGCCTCTGTCCAGATTTTTATATATATTAATATTTTTCTCCCACACCGATACATCCAATTCCAATCTACCACCACAGAGTGGATTCTTCTTCTCTTTTCACCATTGTAACTCCCTCCTCCCATTGTGAGAAACCTGGCTTTCACTAACCTTAATATTTTCGCTCATTTCGTTTATCTCCTGTATATAACCAATCTCCCAACTGCACCGCACTCCTTCGCCAGTGTGGATACCCTGCTAAGACTCTAACTCCCAAATCAAGCTGTCTCCAAGTGGGCAGAGATGCCCTTCTCACCCCACTCTGGCCCATCACACATCCCTCCCACCCCCATTCACAGCCCACACCCCCCACACCCAGGCTGTGGTCACCTAGTGGCTTTAGGCCTGACTGGAGAAGGGGGAAGACCACTGGGTTTTTTCTTTAACTCCCCGATGATTCTAGATGTAGGGAGAGTTGACAGTCACCGAGGTACATGATATGATTTCATTCTGCAAAAGGTTTTAATAACTCAGTGGGCTATGGTGAGCAGGACTGTGGGGTCACGGAACAAGGGGCAAGATGCCAAGGCAGGAGAGATGCAGAAACTCCAGCAGAACTTGTCTCTCTCTCTCTCTCTATCCTGGAGCTTTAGTAAATGCCAGTGTGGATGTACCCCTCAGAGATTGGTTCCACTGGTCTGTTTTTAAAAATGCTCCTCAGGGGATGGGAGGCCAGGGAGAAGAACCACTGTTCTAGAGGCATGCACACAGTTCATTGAGCCCTCCCTGCTCTAAAAGGGTAGAGATCTGCTTCTGTGTAATTATTAAAAGCAGGGGTTTGTGACAAGAACATAGAAAACATTCCTGGACATAAATAGAAGCAATATTTTCTTAGGTCAGCCTCCCAAAGCAAAAGAAATAAAAACAAAAATAAACAAATGGGACTCAGTCAAACTTAAAATCTTTTGGACAACAAAGGAAACCATCAACAGAATGAAAAAACAACTTATGGGAGAAAATATTTGCAAATGATGCTATCGACAGGGTATTAATATCCAAAATATGCAAATAGTTTATACAACTCACCAGCAATAAAAAAAAAAAAACCCAATCAAAAAGATAGGCTGAAGATATGCAGGTGGTCAACAGGCACATGAAAATATGCTCAGTATCACTAGTTTTTAGGAAAATGCAAATAAAAAATATAATGAGGTAGCACCTCATATCAGTCAGAATCGCTATTATCAAAAACTCCTCAAATTATAAATGCTGGAGAGGGTGTGGAGAAGAGGGAACCCTCCTACACTTGTTCATGGGAATGTAAATTGGTGCAGCCACTATGGAAAACAGTGTGGAGGTTTCTCAAAAAACTAAACATAGAGCTACAGGATGATCCACCAATCCCACTCCTGGGCATATATCTAGAAAAGATAAAACTCTAATCTGAAAAGATAGATCCACTCCAATGTTTACAGATTTGTTGGCAAAGTAATGTCTCTGTTTTTTAATATGCTATCTAGTTTGGTCATAACTTTCCTTCCAAGGATAAACATCTTTTAATTTCATGGCTGCAATCACCACAGAAAAATTAAGTCAGCCACTGTTTCCACTGTTTCCCCATCTATTTGCCATGAAGGTTTAAGAATATGTGGTTTATATATACATATTTACATACATACACTAAACAGAATATTACTCAGCCATAAAAAAGAATGAAATAGTGCCATGTGTGCTAGGCAACTGTCGACTGAAACTGCCTGGCTTGGCCAGGCACGATAATAACCACTTGCATGAGTTGTCTCACAACAGGAGGTCCTGATAAAAAATATTAGTGCTACCACGAAAAACTGAGGAGAATTCAGGAGGGGCCAGAAGGAGGGAGGAGGTGCCAGCCCATAATATGTCCTGCCGACCTCCCAGAAACCCTCACTCTGGAATCCATCATGGCTGAGATGCACACACTACCAGAAAGGACCCCAAGGCACAGGACCAGATACCGGCAAGGAATGATGACCGGCCAAGACAACTCGGAAGGCTGACCCCGTCCCTGTCACACGGCAGAGCTGTTCTCCCAGGCTTTCTGCTGTTCCTCACATAGGAGCCACTTTCCAATGAAGTCTTTGGCTTGGTCAGTCCGTGCATCTCCTCAGTTTACTTCCTAGTGTTAAACAAGAGTCCACTCTCTGGCCTTGGACAGAGTCCCACTCCAGTACCATTTGCAGCAACATGGATGGACCTAGAGAATATCATACTAAGTCAAGTCAGTCAGACAGAGAAAGATAAATGTTATATGATACCACACACATGGAATCTAAAGAATAACACAAATGACTATATACAAAACAGAAGCAGACTCATAGACATAGAAAACAAACTTGCAGTTACCAAAGGGGAGGCAGGGGGAGTGTAAGTTAGGAGTGTAAGACTATAAAGAAGGCTGAGCGCTGAAGAATTGCTGCTTTTGAACTGTGGTGTTGGAAAACTCTTGAGAGTCCCTTGGACTGCTAGGAGATCCAACCAGTCCATCCTAAAGGAAATCAGTCCTGAATATTCATTGGAAGCACTGATGCTGAAGCTGAAACTCTGATACTTTGGCCACCTGATGAAGAATTGACTCATTTGAAAAGACCCTGATGCTGGGAAAGATTGAAGGTGGGAGGAGAAGGGGATGACAGAGGATGAGATGGTTGGATGG